CAAAGGATATATATACTCTGTTTTTTTTTTCTCAGGTAAGATTTCGACAGACGATGACAGAAGAAAAGCAGATGACGTCCCATACCAATCTATTTATTTTACTAAAAAAAGTTTCTAATAATTTTTAAGTTAACTATGGATGGGTTTAAATATAAATTCGTCATGCGTCGTCACTTGTTGTTTTTAACTAGTTTTATTGGTTTATTTCAAAAATGACAGATCGTATTTCAATTTTATTGGTTTGACGGAACGATAAACGACAAACGGACGCCGATGCGTATGAACTCGCCTTTAGATTTTTGACGTTTGTCAAAGTCTTGCCAAATTATAGGTTATAATTTTGTGACAACTTTTGTCAAATACCCTGCGTTTTGGAAGATGATGCATTTTGATTCGTGTTATTACGTGTGTTTTGTGTCTTTTGAAGTCAAGATCAAGAAGGTTGGAGGAAAAATCGAGTGAAAATTAACTGTAGAACCCAGAGCACAGTTTATGGTTAATACTCGCTGCTCAGGCAGAAAGTCTTATACAGATACACCAATAAAGTTACTATCAATAAAGTTCGTATACTATCTCGTCGTAGATAATAGCATCTCGAATATGGTAGAAGGACCATACTAAACACATACTAAAAACTAGAGTAGCTGTAAAATATCGACATCACATGATAGATAAATAATGGATTTTAGTACTGCAGAAAAATAATGTCAAAAGGTACTGATTTAAAAAAATTAAGATTAAAGTTAATTAATCAACCTGTGAGGTATAATATTTGGTAAGTGTTATTATTAATAAAATAGTTTGTTTTATTTATGTTGTTTTATTTATTCCTGCGGAATATTACAAATTTGTATTTGTACATAAGTTATATTGATAAATATAATCATAAATGCGGGAAGTTTCATAAAGCTTGAAAGTAAGAAATAGTTCTTTTTTATATTTTTTGGTATTTGGTGTCTTGTTTTTGTTTGTTTTGTATTAACACATACCGTTTTTTATTAAATAAAATAACTCGATTACATTTTTTCAGTTTTATACAGTTTTTCTCACAATATTTTGAAGTTACTTGTCAGTGAAATTTTAAATACATATATTAATTTCCTGCTATGAGATCCAGTTGTACCAACTTATTTCTTTGTAAAATAAAATAAACTACTTTGAAATTAAAATGACAGACACATCTATCACTGTCAAGGATCTTCTCGTTGGACAGACTATATATACATAATATACGTTTTCAAACTCAATCGTAAATAACTTAAAGACGATTTATTTTAGGTATAGGAACATGTATAGTTAAAAAGTAAGGAATTGAAAAACCGTTTCACTAGTGAAATAAAAAAAAGTGGGTTTCCATTGGAAAAAAATGATTTATGATAATTTTTCAATTGCTCAATTCCATGACAGTTACCGCCATTATTATATGATATTTCAACAATTTAATTTTTGAAATAGATAGCCACATGTCTTCTCTTTATGTCGCAGTGGCTGTAGTAATCCCTAAATTTGATTTTTAGGCTATACAAATTTTTTTGACAGGTAGTTTTTTCGTCTAAAAATTTTAAATAATTTTTTTCTCAAAAACGGTTAATGCGCCCCAAAAATTTTGCGCTGGATGTATACCATGATAGTAAGACCCATGATTACATATGGAGCAGTTGCTTGGTATACAAAACTAGACCAACGTACAGCAAGGCAAAACCTGTGCAAAGTACAGAGACTGGCATGTATCTGTATCACAGGTGCCATGAGAACATGTCCAACAGCAGCAATGGAGGTCATTTTAGACCTAACACCACTGCACATTGTCGTCGGTAGTTATGCCAATGCGACAATGATTAGAATGGTCATAGACGGAAACAGTACTGGGAGAATTTTTAGGTCAGAGGCTTGGAACACCCTCAAAAAGAAAATTCCACTTCTCCAACTCCCAGTGGATGACATACCAAGAATTTACAACTTTGAGAAACACCTCACTGTAGTATTGAGTAATAAAAAGGATTGGAAGGAAGAAACGTTTACTCAGCATATAAAAGACCATACCATACCGTGGTATACTGATGCTTCTAAAACCAAAGCAGGGACAGGGATAGGAGTATTTGGGCCGAAAACCAAATACTCCGAACCAATGGGCACCTACCCCAGTATCCTTCAGGCAGAAATTTACGCTATCGAAAGATGTGTACAATTTATCTTAGATAGGAACTATCGAAAACAGGAAATTCCCATCCTATCCGATAGTCATGCAGCACTAAACGCGCTCAACTCAGTAACCATCAATTCGAAGTTGGTCAAAGAATGCCTAGAGAAGCTCAACAAGTTGGGCAAAGAAAATAAAGTCCTCCTACTCTGGGTGCCTGCTCACCAAGGGATAGAAGGCAATGAAAAAGCAAATGATCTAGCTAGGAAAGGAGTGAACACTCCACTAACTGGACCAGAACCGTTCTGTTTTCCAAGCGGAAACCAGCTGAAAGCGGAACTGAAGAATCTGCAAGACTCCAACCGCAACTTGGAAAGGGTGTCCTCCAACGGTCTAAGACACTCGAAAAAGTTCCTCAGAACCTACGACCGAGAAAAATCAAAGGTTTTCCTTGATTTAAGTAAAAACAATCTTCGGATTGTCACGGGGTTCCTAACAGGACACTGTCTCCTCAACGAACACCTCAGTAGGCTGAAGCTGAGAAACAACGGCGAATGCAGATTCTGTGGGGAATATGGGGAAACACCAGAACACCTCATCACTGAGTGCGCCGAGACGACGACCATTAGTGCCATGAACTTTGGTACGGCTGATGTCAAGGATGGAGAGCTGGCCTCTATGGAGCCGTCTCAGATACTGGCTTTTGTTAAAGCCTTGAGACTGTATGATGAGTTATAACTGGTTATAGCTCAAGAAAGGGGAACACACAATAGATCTGTAAGGTCGCGGTGACTAACTCCCCTCCTAAACATTCTACATTCTACATTCTACCGCCATTATTATATGATATTTCAACAATTTAATTTTTGAAATAGATAGCCACATGTCTTCTCTTTATGTCACAGTGACTGTGGTAATCAGTAAATTTGTTGTTTAGGCTATACAGATTTTTTTGACAGGTATTTTTTTTGTTCAAAAATTTTAAATAATTTTTTTCTCAAAAACGGTTAATGTTAGATATAGAGTGTCAATCAATATTCATAGAAGTTTACAGAAAATTTAAGTATGTAATAAAAAATGGGGGCATTCTTTTTAAAATACGAAAGTTGCTGTCAACTTCCGGTATTCCCAGAAGTGCCGCCATATTGAAAATATTTTTAATCGATAGATCTCGTTGTAAAACAATGATGTGCAAAATATCTCCGATCTAGATATTGTGATTCTCTAGAAACTTCTAATGCACGCTCAGGCTGGAACACCCTGTATATTCGGGAATACTGAAACAACACATTTCGAATATGTTTTTTTAAACCAGTTTACAACAAAAACTACGGCTTAATTTTGCTACTTGCTTAGATAGCAACAAAGCCGGGTAAAATTTATTTTTATTTCCCAGCTAAGCGTGCGTAATCCAAAACCGACAAATCCTCCTAAAAACAACAATGGACGGGCACTGTTTCCGTCCACGTTCCTCGTATTACCAATTAAAGTTTTATTTTGTAGCGGCGAAAACAATAAAAAAAATTTTAATATAGACAGAGCTCGTTAAAAGTTGCGAATATTCCGTTTGCAGCTTTTCAAAATATTTATTTTTTGACTTTAATTAAAATAAAATTTAATGTACACAGGCAGACTTGTTTTTGATAAACAAGTTTACTAAATAAAATGTATCAGGCTTGTATTTATATACATCTGTTCGAGTATCTGTTCTACCTAATGATGGAATTATTTCAAAATTTCAAAATAATATAAAACAAAAATATGAAATGCTATTTTCCTTTTTTTTTAATATTTTATCAATTTTTATTTTAATATACTATATGCTACATCTAAATCAACAAAAAGAAAGCTGTTGGGATCTCGGAACAATGATTGAAGAAATAAGAAGATGCGCAACCTTATGGCCGATTTGGTGGCACAAAACCTGTCCGAGATGTAGCTAGCGTTCCGTCAGCCTGTCCGAGATTTAGTTTAGCTCTGCGCCGCTGCGCGCTGATAGTCGTTTACAGCGCAGCGGATCAAGAATACTGTACCGTAGTTCCGCTTTCAGTCGACAGAGTGAGTGGTTGCCGGAGACAGTGTTGCCAGAACTGCTGAAGTCCGTAGATTTACGGATTTTGGGTACAGTAAGTTAATAATACGGATTTTCTATCATTAAACAATTTAATATAATATTATATGATCAAATCAAGAACGGCCTCAGAGTTGGCTTGGAAATGAAGATCGCTGTTATCTCATAATATGTAAAATATTATGGTAAATGTCTATAATCGTTATTTCCAAGCCAACTAAACGACTTTTTACGACCATACGACATATTCAGTACATATAAAAGAATTTGTACTTTTGTTGTTTATTCTATGTTTAACACGAATAAATTTTCAATACATAAACTGGAATTCTTAATCTAAAGATATTTTCGTGAAACGTATTACAGATATTACACATTTTAATATGGCAACACGGTCGCTTTCAGTTCCACACCGTCTCCGATATGCCTTCGCTAGCCGAATTAGAGAAAATGAGTGTTTTATGCGTTGGCCTCAGAACGAGTGGTGGCTCTAATGTACAGCACTTGAGACGTAAGGGGAAATCAAGTCAGCCTTGTCACGAATTCGCCCATTAGATTGCGTATCTTCCCAATTCTTTCAATCAACTTTATTAGTGAGTCTAATCTGTTCACTCATTGAACGTATCTTTGTCATTTCCGGATATATGACGGAAAAACTGAAATTTCCTGTTTTCGTTTTAATTTTTTTACGAGTTTACTTTTCTAGATCCTTAAAATATTAACTTACGTTACGTAAAATTTATAATATTCTAGAAGAAGGTTTGGCTAAATGTCTACTTCATTTTCCAGGAAAATACTGACAATATTCGTCTTCTTAATGCTGCCATGGTTAATGGATACTCCATCGTGACATACCAAAGACCGCTGAAGGCGTCGGACAAATACGACTTGCCCATCTATAATAACAAATCACAGGCTATCATTTGGGCAGTGGGTCCCTTAAACCAGAGAAATGAAGTGTCTTTCCACAGTCACTACCTTAAAAGTATGTATAAAACTTATTGTATTAAATTAAGCTAACTTGATTATCTGTAAAACAAGCTTTTTTAAAACTACTAATTGCATCTCAATACGATTCAGTTCATTCATTATTCATTTTACATTAGTCAGTATTAAAAAATAATAACATTTATATACGTATCATATATTTATAAAAGTGGCTCACCTCCAAACTTTTTTTAGATAAAAACGAGATTTGGTATGACATAATATTTGACATAATTTTTTTTTATTTTTGGCATTGATTGACGTATTCAGTTGTTTTCGGTCACTTCCTGTTTCACCGGAAATGTCTACATTTTTTGATTTTTAAATGGCATCCTCGGTATTTTTTTTACTTTATTCCATAGTATATATAACTTTTCATATTTTCGCTTAAAAAAATTGTATTTTAAATTTGAATCTAGAGTGCCATGGCTGTGTTAAAAACACTAATTTTTAATCAAGCAGCTTTAGAAAAATAGATTTGATCGTCTAATGTTTTTAGTGTCTTGGCCTGTCAGGTTAAAAGAAGCTCAAATCGTATTTTTAATTATATCTCAATTTTTTCAAATGGAATGAGGGTGGTTCGTTAGCATATTTGGAAAAATAATTTTTGTACGAATAATTTGGTACCACACACTTGGTATTTCGAGTCAAATTGTCATTATGAACAGCATGTTACAATTTCAAATAAACGATATGCGAAAATGTCAAAAGTTGACATATGACGAATAAAGTTAAAAAAATACCGAGTGTGCCATTTAAAAATCAAAAGTTTCAATCCAAATCTTGTTTTTTTATGTGAAAAAATAAAAATGTATATGAGTGAGCCACTTTTGAGACGCACTGTATGGTAACTAAAACAGAATATTGATTTCAGCTGATAGCTTTATCGACTTCGGCAGACCAGCCAAATGGAACTGTCCCACTCCAGAAGCCGATCCACCAGCATCCCCACAAACCATAGCTTCTGCCAAAAAACATCAAGCTTCGGAGAACAGTGAAGAAGAATATCCTCAACCTCCTGAGGTTGAGCCATCTACTACAACTACTGCAGCTCCTAGAAGATCCAGCGATAGAAGACGAGGAGGTGGTAGACCTAGAAGACCGGTTGCTGCAGCAGCTACCGAGATCGTAGAAGAAGGTATAGTATTTCCAAAGTCATTTGGACTGGTTTCAAGCTATTAATTTCGGCACTGCATTTTTCTCAAACCAATCCATGTAACTTTGTTAATATTTTAATTGGTTCATCTTATATTTAATCTAATCAAATGTATAATCAACCAGAGATATCACAAAATAGAAGAATTCTGTATAATATTGTATTCCTCAAACAACTGTTATTTCTGTTACTATTTTAGTTCAGCCGACTAGGAAAGAACCAACAAGGACGAGAGGCAATAATCGCGTATCACAGAGAGGTGTACCTTCACCCACCCCAGTCGAAAACCGAGACGCCTGGGAAATTCCGCCCATTCAGTGCAACGAGCCTGATGATGGAGTATTCTACGCCCAAATGGGACCTACCGGAGGCAAAAGTGGCTATCCGGCTATCACAGGTTTGTAGTTTTGCTCAGTATGGCTGAATGTAATTCATCGAAGCAATGAAAATTCGCAATTTTTAATACTTTTTAACAATAAATGGTACCATACGATTGAAAAAACGGCGTCAAAGAAGGCTGATTAACAATAAAACTCTACGGGTCAGCTAGTAATATTTATTTCTTAATGTTAGTAATAAGAGAATGTCGGATACTCCAAGGCATAAATGGAATATTTTTATACCTTTTTATCAAAACATATTCACAAAAATAAACTGAATTGACTCCAAACTGTTCAAAGTAATTAATTTATTTCAGGACACGTGGGTTGGGGTATTTCCTGGTACATAAATGGCTTATTAATTCCTGTTATCAATGTTGTCAGAGGGAAAACCTACACGTTCGTCACCGAGGGTGGAGACAACCCTGAAATTTCCGCTAAGTATCATCCATTCTACATAACCGATGATCCTATTGGTGGATACGTCTACAAAACACCAGAAGAGAAGAAGGTAAGTTAATATGACAGAAAATTAATTAACTAGAGTGATACCTGCTATAAAATTGACAATATTTAAATACTCGCTGAGAAAAATTTGCCAACAAATCGATAAAAATTTCAAATAATAGAAAACTTCAATAATAGAGAATACAGAATGAAAAGAAAATTGTTGGAAGCATTCATACAGGGCGAGTCTTAAATAAGTGCAAATATTTTCAGAGGTGGTAAGATCTCCATAAAAGAAACATATTTCCTCTTTACCGTTTTTCAACCACTGGATCTTTTCTGGGGTTTCTTTCTTGTAAATTTAATCTACTACCTATATGTTGTCATTTGTTGGAAATTATTTTCAAGTTTGTAGAACGGCCACTGGAGGGCGCAACTGTTATAAAAAATAAGAAAACGGAGTTTTTACACAATTTTGCCTAGATAACGGGTACTATAAATAATAACTTCATAATCTTCAGTTAATTTTGAATATTTTTTGTTGGAACCATTTTCCCCTACCTACCAAAATAAAGTGGTGGGGGAAGGTTAGATTTGTCTTAAGTTAAATATTAATAACTCCGGACTCTGGATGAACGGAATCCAACAAACGGAGGATCGTTTAAAAGAGCGTTTTTTACTCTATATTATACCGTATAAACAATACTAATAAGCTTTTGAATGTCCACGCTAGGGGACGCTGTCTTAAATTTAATAAACATTGCCCAATTTTTCAAAAAAATTAAATGCGATAGTATATGTAATTTTAGCTGATAGTAAAGAGCAATAAAGGCTTAAAAAGTCAGCGAAACCGCATCTTGATATCCCCTTTCAAACCGAAGATATTAGCAAAATTATAATAAATACGAAAAAATAAGCCCTAATTACCGTATTTTTATAACAAGGTTACAGTAGCCCTCTTGTTTAGGACCATTCTAATAAAAAATAAGATAGAAACGATTAGTTTATTCTAAAATCGACAATATATCAAAATACCAGATGTATTAATATCTAATAATTATGGCATATGGCATTGAAAAAGAAACGACGCCTCAGTGATATCATGGTAGGCTTTGGAAGAGTTGCTTTTGTCGTAATAGTATAAACGTCAAAGTGTTAGATAGTTTAGATCATGCCCTAGACACTCAATGGTAATTTTATAGAACTACAAATTTAGTTTCTTCCGCATGGCCAGACGGCGCAAAAGACATTAAAGCACAGGTTTCTAATTTATATTATGAAGATGACATGACAGTCTCTATGTTAAGTACTGTCTATGGTCTAGTTTTTGTCTTGTTGACAAAATGTTGGTGATCCGTCAAGTTATTTTTAAATCATTATTTAAATAATTATTAATTCAGATATTCCTGATTTGTCGGAAAGTTCAGTGGTTTGTGTTTATAGTTTGTTTTTATTAGTTTGTGCATTCTGATACTTACAGTCGATCATCATTTTCGTGTTAGATACTAAACTTTTTTATTAAAGTCATTTTGACATTTTAGAACTAATAATTTATAAACCAAATAAAAAAATAGTTTAATCGTAAATAAGTAAGTACATAGTTGGCAATATATAGTATTTTTAGTAACAGTTAATTAGTAGTCTATAATATTTTTATTATATTATAATTTAGTTGTAAAATTAAAAAAATAGGCGCTATGTGATCTATTGTTGGTGTTTAAAATGTATGTATTTATAATTTTAATTTTGTTGTAATTATGTTACACTTCTAATGATCTAATAAAACATAAAATTGGGGGCAGTAAAAAAGTATATTTATTATTTTATATTTTACAAGGAATAATTTTGCCACAGATTTTGCGCTTGAATAACGTTACCGTTTTAATTAGCGTTAATAAGTAACGGAACGCTAAAATTATGTTATGCCAAAACTCTCCATTAGTTTCTTCCGGATCACCAGGTGGCTCTAAATGACGGACCCATTTGTTTTATATCAGTGTCCAATCTATCTCTAGTACGTGACATTAGTCTATGGTTTAGATCAACATTTTGATAGTCTTAGCAACGTTTTTTCTCTTTTGAAGAAAGGCATTTTTAGAGAAGCAATCAAAAGATAAAAAACTCTGCTGAGAAAGAAATGTTGATATCATATTTTGATGGTTATAAACGTCATTTAAAACCAACTTTTAATTTTTTTAAACTTTATAAACCTTTAAAAGCAACTTTTTTCCAAAGCCTAGTATGAATTCACTGAGGTGTAATTACTTGTTCACTGTCTTGATATCTTAATTATTGAATATTAATACACCTAGTATTATAGTATTCTGATACATTGTCGATTATTTTAATAAAATAATCCTATTTTATTATTAGAATGGTCATAATCAAGAGGGCTAGTGATACCGTGTTAGAAAAATAAGGTAATTAAGGGCTTATTTTTTCGTATTTATTAAAATTTTGCTAATAACTTTGGTTTGAAAAAAGATATGAAGATGCGGTTTTCACAGACTTTTTAAGCTTTTATTACCCTTTAGTAAAAGCTAAAATTACATATACTATCGTATTTTTTTTTTTTTGAAAAAACGCGAAAAAATATTTGTGAACAGCGCCCCCTAGCGTCTACGTTCAAAAGCTTAAAACAAGCCCCCGTTTTTGGATTCCGATCATCCAGTCCGGAGTTATTAATATTTAAATAAAAGCAGATCTAACCTCCTACCATTTTATTTTGGCAGATAGGGGAAAATGGTTTGAACGAAAATTTTAAAAATTTACTGAAGATTATGAAGCTATTATTTATAGTACCTCTTATCTAGGCAAAATTTTGTAAAAATTAAATTTTCTTATTTTTTATAGCAGTTGCGCCCTCTAGCGGCCGTTCTACAAACTTGAAAATAATTTCCAACAATTTCGCATAGCCTCTTTAGTTACAAATACTTTTTTCCGGAGGCTCTACGGCTAATACTTTCCGAGATACAGCCGAGAGCTATTCTTGGTGGGAAACCCTGTACATGCAATTAGTCTTTAATTTATATTTATAACATGTCAACTATTTATTTTAGAATGTGACAGTATTTGCCGGAGTCGAACAGGCCAAAGACGGTAGTCTACAACCAACAGGAACGGGTAGGTTGTGTCATTGGTCTGGAGATCAAGATGCCGACGAATTCCAATCGTTCGGTGCCTACCAGAGAACGTTACAGCTTAAATGCGACAAAGGGGAACCAGGATTCATCCAGTGGACTCCGGACAAGAATACCCCAGACACTGTCTACTATCAGGTAAGACACTTAGAAATTAAATGTTTGCTTTTTTATCCTTTACAACCAAAAAAAGAACCACTCAGAAATGCGATTATCAGTACAATTAAGGCATCAAGTTGAAAAAAAAATGGCCTAATGACACATATTGATAGTGGACCCTAAACTCTACATAATCATAATCCCAAACTGCAGTAAAAGTCACCTATTCCTATATAAAATTCACTACAAATTACGTTACTGCAGCAAAATCCATCTTATCCACTTATATTTGGTTTTTATTGTCATTATTGTTACAAATCTCGCATTTTTTCACAAACTTTTTACACAACTATAATTTTACTACTGACGTCTTTTAAAATCCTTACTTAATTTTAATAAAACAGTATATTTAATAAATCAAGATAGGATGCAAATACCGTATGATCGAAAAAAAACGGCGTCCAGTTGGCTAGGAAATGACGATCGATGACATTTCCCATAAAAATTTACATATAAAATGAGAGCTTCCTTCATTTCATAGCCAATATTCATCATACTGCAGCAAAACCCGCCTTATCCGAATTATTTTTGGGTTTTTTCTGTTTAAAAATTAAATATTAATAATTTTTATTTCTTGAAAAACGAGATACAAAGCAATGATTTCACTCAATGGACACGTTTTTTGTAAATTAACGCTTCAAACATTTGTTAAAACAGTTTTTGCTTATTATCTCGAAACAACGTTTGTGGGATAGGAAGGGTTTTGCAACTTGACGCTTCAAATTTAATACTTGGCTTTTATTTTTACAAGCTTTTACATAATTTAACTTGCCGTTGCCGTATTAACTTGCCTTAATAAATGTATGTTAGTGTCGAGTCCAGTGAACTATCCAGACACTGTAATGCTGCTTGATTATCGGATAAGTTGGCTATTTCTTGTTTCCGATAGTTCCTATTTAAGATAAGTTATACGCATCTTTCGATAGCATAGATTTTTGCCTGGAGGGTGCTGGGGTAGGTGCCCATCATTGGTTCGGAGTATTTAGTTTTTGGCCTAACTACTCCTATCCCTGTTCCTATACTTTGGATTTGGAAGCATCAGTATATCACATTATGGTATGGTCATTTACCTCAGCAAACGTTTCTCCGCATTCAAACTATTCTCGCAAACGATCCGCATTCAAACAATGTTGAACATCGACAAAACTAAAATCATGTGCGCTCCCCCTAAAGATCATAATAATGCTATAAAAATCGGAGAACTACTGGAATATGTAGCGGAATTCAATAAGCGGTTGCGGTGGGGGCGGACCGCCCCTGGCGGTGACCCTCCAAGTACCTGCGGGGCGACAAAGAATTGTTATTAAAGCAGCGCACAGTGGTACCCAGATAGGTCATTACTTAGAAATATTAATTTCAAAATGTTTGCATGAAACTATTGCTAATACTTTTCTTATATTCCTCTATAAACGATACATAATAAATAAAAAAATCAAGTAAGCCTAGTGTAGCGCTTTTTTTGTCAGAAATGTCACATTTTTGCTACTGCTATCAAGCTGACATTAACAGTTTTCAGATAACGCCAATTAATTACTTACTTTATTAAAATTGATAAAAGCTGTTGCCTTTTCTGTAATGGACGTTCGAAAAGAAGGTAAAAAGAACTGTTTTTTCTTGTTTGTACTTAATTAAACCTAAGTAATATTAGTTTATGGCAATTTATTTGAAGGCAACAAAAATAGTATTTTTATATTTTTGCTTGTCACTCTTTAAGACTTTTAACTACTTTCCCTTTCAAATCCTCTTAAACGGCATGATAATACTTGTTGCTTAAAGAATATTGCATATAAATTAATTGCCACTGGCTGCCGCGAATTGCCGCCGGATCTTATACCGGGTGGTTATAGATTGACTTTTTGTCTTAAAATAAAAGTAACTTATTTTTTCCTCTTCGTGTCAACTTATTTCGTGGACACACTATCAAGTGACAACAAAATTGTATTTATAAAATGAAACAACTGTCTCTTTTATTTTTTCAACATTTAAAATAAATTTGACCTCTTCAATCTGTATACCTTTCCGAATAGTTAGAACATAAAATGCAAATTACACGAACTGGGCCCAATTTTTTTAATACATATTACATTAAGTTTTTTATATACATTTATTTAGCATTTGTTATCAATTTCTATTAAAAAAGGTGCAGTCAAGCTATATCTAGATATCTAACAGTTATGACCGCGCAGCTAATTAAGGGGAACCACTGTGCGGCGGACGGATTCTGTAGGGGCGGCAAACCTCTCTCCTAGAGGCTCTCCGCCCCGGACGCCCCTAACCCACGCTACGCCACTGTTTCTCTGAAAGAAAACGCCTTGCGTAACCATCTTCTGATGCGTGTCAAGTTCTCGTCAGCGACTAATGACAGTAAGTAAGTAAGCAAACGTTCCTCTCTTCCAATCCTTTGTTTACAAATTTTATTGCTCAATACTACAGTGAGGTATTTTTCATACAGTGAGGTATTTCTCAAAGTTGTCATTCTTATTCTTGGTATGTCATCTACTGGGAGTTGGAGAACCGGAATTTTTTGATGCCGGTGGTCCAAGCTCCTGAGCTGACAATTCTGCCAGTCCAAAAAGATTTTTCATTCACTATTTTTAAGCGTTTAAGAGTGTATTTCGCTGTACTGTTCGGATCACTCTCAAGGGTCGGATAAAGCCGGGTGTGTGGCCGAAAGAAATACATATCACATTTCAGAAGCCCAGGGCCGTATCTGGGGGGGTGTTTTGGGGGTTCAAACCCCCCCCCCGAAATTATGGCCGAAAATTTTTAAAAAGTAATGATCATTAAGTAAGTAAGTAAGAACGAAACAAAAAAGAAGAAGAAGATGGATGAATATCAATGACTAAAGAATACCAGGACATGTAACGTCCATATACGGGCTGCAGTAGAATTTGTGACCTTAGACGCCAACTTTTTAGACATAACGACATCATCAGCTGGTCATCAGCGACAATTTTAGCGATTTTTAATTGTTGGTTGTGTGTAGTGAACTTTGTATAAACTTTATTACAATGGAATTTGTTCAGCTTTCAAGTGTAAAAGGCGCAATGATAAGAAAGAGCCAGAAGTTACGTTTTATAGGAAATGAACAGTTCCCTACACCTTTTTAGATTTTTTTTATTGAATTCGATAATTATTTTTCTGATATTATATGTACTTGATATGTACTATACGTCGATACTAGTTATGTACCTTTTGTCAACATTTTAATGCGTTTTTTGCGTAATTAATTAGTATGATACTACCCGATACACCATAGGCGTAGTGAAAACATATAATATCAAAAATATAAATATCCCTTCAAGCGGCAATGTTAAGTAAAATATGTGCCACGGCACTGTTTGGAAGAATGGTCACAGTTTGGTCTCGGGTGCTATTTGTCCTTGTATTCTTTAGTCATTAATGAATATACATTATACACCCTAACCTCACTTTTCCACTTTGAAAGCAAATGTCATTTTCGACTTTCGACTTTCAACATTCAAGTGTTTAAAACAACAAAAGTTTGACAAGGACAAGATTTTGAATGTTGTGTGTTTTGCAGGTTATTAACGTGATTAACGTTTGTTATTGTTTTGCTATTAGACAAAAGAATTCTTGAACTATGACACTTTAGCGGCAGAACTAGACTTGTGGCGGCAAAATGGAAGCAGCTACCTGCAGTCGACCGACCTAAAAACGCCATCGAAACGATAATCGGAGTGTAACCAGTGTATATTTCCAAATATATACATTTTATTAATGATCCTAGCAACTCTACCAGTGTCAACTGCTACACCAGAAAGGTCTTTTTCAACCCTAATGCCGCAACCGCACATGCGGTATTCGGCGATCTCCGATCGGGGCTTCGCCGATTTCCTATGTGTGTGGATGAGGAAGTCGGAGTTCGGCGACTCGAGCGGCGACGAGAACGAGCGCTCGTCTCTATATTGTTGCTATCAGAGCCCGCATGTGTGGATGGAAAGGCGAAGTCCGATCACGAGCGTTCGGTAGTTGACGAGCGCTCGGAGTTCGCTAAATGCCGCATGTGCATAAATTAATTATGTGGCATAAGACGATTGAAGGACTTTCTACGTAACTCTACAGGTCAGGAGCGATTGACAGGACTTGCCCTATTAAGCGTACATAGAGAAATAAATATCGATATCGAAGAGGTAGTCAATCGTTTTTCCAGGGAAAAGACCAGTTTATCCTTTAAAATTAATTTTTACCTGTTACTCTTTTAAAATTTTATTTTCAATTAAGATTTGAGTGTAACCCAAAGCGATTTTTTTATTATGCTTTTTTCGTAGCAGTTTTTGTACCCCCCTCCAAGCCAAACCCCCGAAATTTTGGTCTAGATACGGCCCTGCAGAAGCCTTAGCCCGATCCGGTCGTGTTAAGAAGCCACACCCAAAATTCCAAACACACGTGCTTTGATTAAGGTTTGCAGAGCTTCAGCATTTGCCATGAATTTTAAATTATGTCTTTATTTTCGAGAAAATTTAGTCCAAATATAAGGAATATTTTGTTGATGTTTGACCATCAAAATCTTTAAAATAAAGAAGTTTAAAAATGTGCTACAATACGAATATAGTAAAATCCTTTATCTTAAATTTCCTTCTTCATTTGTGTAAAAATACCTGGCCAGTTTTACATAAAACGTTAAATGCTGAACGCTTATTTTGCTACTTTTTCGGACTAGTGAAATGGCAAAAATCAATAAAATAAAGGTGTTATAATATTCCCAAGAAAAGACTATTGTCATAAACAGTTCTATCTGCATTTTTGAAACATAAAAGTTCAACTTACCGGCACAACAAGGAACAAGCGCATATTTAGAGTTCTCAAAAGAAACTTTTTCTAATAAAAATGAACGCTACTAAAAGGCCAAACAAGGAGGAGAACATAGACGGAATTTTTAATGAAACTATTTCATAATTACATATTTAAAGCGTCGGCGAACTTTTTAGAACTATGTGTAACACGTAAAGTTGAAA